ATTGTAAAAAAACACCCCGTATTTCCCCAACCCCCAAAAAAAAAAAAAAAAAAAAAAAAAAAAAAAAGAAGTCCTCTTGATTTTAGAACTGTGAAGCTCAAGCTCCCTGGAGCCATTTAAACCAACACATATTGCGCAGAGCAAGGGTGTGCGTCCCACCAACATGTCTGGAATACTTTTTTCAGCAAATTTCTGATGTAAAAGGCGTCTTTCCAACTCTACTGTGATCCCAGAATCAACATTTGCTTCACACCGAAACTCCAGACAAAGGGGGTAGAGGGAAGGCCGCCAAGGTCCCATTATTCTCTAACATTCGAACTGGGAACTTTAGAACAAAACGATGACGAAAAATGTTCATGTAAACAGAACTCCCTAAATACACCCGCTCCTTCCATTAAAAAGCGATATTCAGTATTTACCTTCATTAAAGGGGCTACCCCAGCTCCCCAACATTTGCTTAAAAAAGTGATATGTTGGGATTCTCAAAAGGCAATAAGCTGTTTTTATGAAACTGCACCATATTAAAAAAAAAAAAAAAGAAAAAAAAAAAGAAAACGGCCATATAGGGGGAAACAACACAGATAAAGCAACTGCCTGTGGGTCAGAGTGATGCTCGAATCACTCGACACAAAGGACCTGAAACAAAGACGCAGACAGCCGGCTGGCCCTCTGAGCCCCGGGTACAGCTGGGGATCGGGCAAGGGGAGCGGGACTCGAGGGAGGCCGAGCTGGGGAAGATGGCACTCATCTGTCCCCTGCCCCTCAGGGACAGGAGCAACAGTTATTCCTGGACAGGGCCTTATGAAGTGGCCATTCCAAAGACCTCGTCTATAGATGAGGAAACTGAGGAACGGAGAAGGTTTGAAGTTGCCGCGGCCAGGTACGTGGTGAAACTTGTGTCTAGACTCTCAAACTAGTGCTCTCAGAATAAACGTCTTGACCCCTGACTTTGCCTTCATCCCCAAGGATGATGGTTAAAAAAAAAAAAAACAATGTGCCCTTAATTCCCTTTATACATTCTGCTGATCTAAACAGTGAAATCTTTTTCTTTCCCATCTAACTTTCACTTCACATTTTGTAAGACTAGGAGTAACAAGAACGTCCACCAACAAGGTAACTGGAGATAAGCAGTCCTTGATGGACGCTATGGCATAAATCCCACGCCAACTGCATACGTTCGCGTTTGTTTTTCACATCGTTTCAAGGGTCAGATGGCAAAGCCTAAAAGCCACAGCAGAGAGGATCTGGTACCTTCGGGTCCATTTTCTGTTTGGTATAAACTCCATTTGCTGCTGTGAAGACATCGTTCAGGAATACGAAAAGATAGCCTTCCAAGTTAAAAGCAAGGTCGGAACTGGCAGGCAAAACACAAGAGGAGGAGGTTCTTCAGAAACTCGCAGCTTGACCTCAGAGCCTCCTGCTTTACTATGCCCTAATAAACCGATTTGAAATGCTGCTCACTCCTTTTTCTGTGGCTTATCCTCCCCCCATGCCAGCAATGAATGATTAAGGTCTCTGCTATGCCTTCAGCAAAAACCCAGCCATCAGGTGGAGCTGACTGAATCCCCAAGGGCTTAAATCCAGGGGGACAGAGTCATCTTCCGTTAAGTGCAAAGCTAACAGATAACTGGGCCTGACTGACGCACCCCGACTCTTCTACGGGGCATGGTCTGCCCAGCCCACCCAGTGGCTTTGCTTATTATATTAAACAAGGCCACCCCCAGGGTACAGCCGATGTGGGACAGCTGGGCGGTGACTGGGACAAGGGAAGTCAAATGAGGAAGGGACACGTCCATCTGGTGCCCAGACAGTATTCCGCCCATCCGAAAAGGCAAGGCAGGCATCCATGCCTCGTACGCAAATCTCCCAAGGTTTCTTTCTTTTCTTCCTTTCAAACATCTTCTCTTTGATTTCCATTGTAAGGAAACAATACCTGTATAAAACCGTTTGGGAGGATAGGACATAGGGACGAGAGGGGGGCCAACGGGTGAGCCACTGTGCGGTGTGCCCTCCCGCACATGATCCTTACAGACAGCCCCAGACCCATGCCCTAAGTCATAAACATAAATGGCCACGGAGGGAAGGCTACTCCTGCACACTCTCAGGTTCAGTCCAGGGGCCTGCGAATTTAACTGGCAAAAGGCATGAACAGGAGCAAAGGAAGGTCATCAGTACTAATATTTTACACACATGAATGCACAGAAAAGAAGTGAAACTCGACAAAGCACTAAGACTTTGGGGCTGGAACCAGCAGATGGCGTAATGGTTACATTGCTGGACTCCCACAGAGTCGACCGTGGTTCAAGTCCTGCACCTGATAGCTGGAAAATCAAGTTGAGCACGTGTTCATGTGTGCCCAAGATCCTGAGAGAATGGAGGAGATGGGATTGCAGCATGGCTACCCCCCGGGGGAGGGATTGCTCATGTTTTGTCTCTTTGTCCCTCTGTCTCTCCAGCAAACGCACGTGCCCTATAGCAAAAATTTCTCTTTAAAATAAAAAAAGGACTTGGGGACCAGCAGTTGGCATAAGGGCTATGTCACTGGACTCCCATGAGCTGGCCCTAAATCCCATGTAGTCAACTGCGGTTCAAGTCCCAAACTCGGTGGCTTAAACTCACACCTGGCACGTGTGCATGCACGCCCAAGATCCTGAGAGGAGAATGGAGGAGAAGGGATTGCAGCGTGGCCATCCCCCCCAGGGGGTGATTTCTCGCTGTCTCTCTCTCTCTGTCTTTCTGGCAAGCACACGTGCGCTATAGCAAAAGCTTCTCAAAAAAAAAAAAAAAGCTTAACTAAAATCCCTCTAACCTTTTTTCTTCCCTTCATTCAAGTAAGTTTCTTTCTTTTATTTAATTACTGTTAAAAATGTTTTTAAAGTTTGCTATAAGGTACATGTGCTCACTGGAGAGACAGAGACAGAGAGAAAGTGAGAAATCATCCCCGGAGGAGACAGTCACTCCACAATCCTCTCTTCTCTATTCTCCTCTTGGGATTTTAGGCACACACGTGCACACATTTGGCAGGATTTTCAAGCTGCTGGCTCTGGGACTCAAACCACTAAGTCAGCCATGTGGCATCCCGGCTGCCTTAACCTCCATGATGCCTGCTGGTCCTAAAACTTTTGCTTAATTTTTTAAAAATTTACAAACAGCCAGTGCACAACTCTCTACCTCCCATTTTCCTGCTAAGATGGCTGAGGCGGGAGCACTTACAATCAGGCGCTTCGATTCCTGTCTGTGGTTCATGCCCGTGTGCAGTTACAGTCCCCAGGTGCCAGGCTTCGTTCTGGGGCTGGGCCCATGGCCGTGGTGATCCCACATGGCCAACCAGTCCTGGCCCCTGTGACTTAAGGACTGCTCCAGGCAAGTGTGAGTGTGCACGTATGCACACACGGGTGCCCCAAAGATCCCACTGGGGAGGAGGGAAGAAGGAGGAGGGAGTCCACTGTGACCCTTCCCCAGAAGTGCCTTCTCCCTCGGGGCACCTGCTTCCACATGAAGTCAGAGTCTTCAGTCCTGCTGGTGCATATTAATGACCGAGGCAGGCGTCCTGCCTCAGTGCTGGCTCCCATCCCCAACGCACAAATACATATAATCCCATCCCACCACTGGGAACATGGACAGCTAAGGTGCCACAGAAGGACAAAGCAGCACGCCAGGGCCTTATAAATCTGCTTTGTTTTGTTTTGTTTTTAATTTTGCTAGAGAGAGAGAAAAAACATAGAAGGAGAAGGAGAAACCAGTCCCTCCTCCTCCATTTCTTCATCCTGTCAGGAATTTGAGCATGCACACACATGTGCCCGGTGTGTTTTCCACGCCACGAGGCAGGGTCTAGAACCGCATGTGGCCATACAGAATCTGGTTCCCTTAACCATCAGGCCACAAGCTGCCCTAAATCTATTCTTTTTATTCCAAGACCTATGAACTTCTAAAATAGAGACGCCATAGATTTTATATTTCTTTACATTACGTTCAGTAATGAAAGTAAACAATCCACTGATTTGATGAAGAAAAGCTGTATTAATATTGTGCAGGGATCTCTTTGTTCATTCTCAGAAATGTTCTGGCCACCGTAAGAGCCAGCTTGACTTTCACAGGGACACATGGGGATTTTAACTTGGACAGATTTGTCTCTTAGCTGCTCAATTCAGCTGCAGCCAGATGGAAAATGAACCACGAGCAGGGCCTGGGCCTATTGTCAAGGACACAAAGAAGTCATTGAGCAGAAACGGTGCCAAGTCTTACCCAGCTGCTACAAAGGCCCCGAGGACGATGGCGAAGACACTGGCCACGATGTTCAATGAATACCGTTTCCTATAATCAATCAATAAGAAATGAGGGGGAGGGGAAGACAAATTCTAATTATAAATTATATTTTTAAAACCAAACAGACTAACGGTTTCAGAGTTAAAAATCTAACAGACAATGTTTCGCACAGAGGAAGCCCTGAAAGGGTTTGTGAGTTAGACCAAATGTCCTTTATTTCTTAAGCAGTTTTCTTCATCTAGTTCTAAACTAGTTTTTCTCTGTTCTCACTAGAGTTTGCTGGAGCAAAACATGGAAGGGCTCCTGCCCGGAGGTCTGATTTGTATGACTTATATTGAGCAGCCAGAGCTTAAGAGAAAATTGAATATTCGGGTTTAAAACATTGAACTATCAACTAAGTTTTGTTACTCAGTAATCTTCACAGTAGAATTACCTTTCTGGATGTGAGCCTGAGTATTCTGATGAGCAATCTCTATACCCACTTTAGAAACACTCCTTTTTTTTTTTTTTTTTGAGAGGTTTTTGCTATAGGGCGTGTGCACTCGCCAGACAGACAGAGACAGACAGAGAAACAGAAAGCGAGAAATCACCCCCCAGGGGGGATGGCGACGCTGCAATCCCTTCTCCTCCATTCTCCTCTCAGGATATTGGGCACGCACGCACACGCGCCCGGCGTGAGTTTAAGCCACTGGGTCCAGGACTCAAACCGCGGTCGACTACGTGGGAGTCCAGCGACATAGCTATTACACTAACTGCTGGTCCCAAACACTAATTTTTTTGATATTATGTTATAGTCACTGTAGCAGAATTTACTTCTCTGACACTCTACATTCCTGTCCCTACATATATCATTTAGCTGGACAGTTTACCTTCTGTATTTCAAAATTGGTGAATATTCCATCTGGTTCAGGAAACAAATTTATATTTGCATAGCGATGTTTCTAAATTATTATAATTTTCTACTGCAAACATGTATGTTTTTAAAGATTTATTTATTTATTTATTCATTCATTTTAATTTGACAAGAGAGAGACACACAGAGAGAGAGGAAAGTGAGAAAGCAACCCACCAGTCCAGGACTTGAATTGTGGTCAGCCATGTGGGAGTGTCCAGCACCTTAACCACCATGCCACCTGCTGGTCCCCCAGCAAACATGTGTTAGCTACAATTTATGTAAAGCTACAATTTAAAAAATCCCTCATCGGGGCCAGCAAATGGCATAGCAGTTACATTGCTGGACTTCGCGTGGCCAACTGCAGTTCAAGTCCTGAACCCAGTTGCTTGAAACTCAGGCCAGGCACGTGTGCGTGCATGCCCAAGATCCCAGGAGGAGAATGGAGATAGAAGGACTGAGCTGTGGCCATCACTCCTGGGGTGTGATTTCTCACTTTCCCTCTCACTACTGTCTCACTGTCTCTGTCTCGCTCTCTTCTCTCTCTCTCCAGCAAGTGCATACACCCTAAGGCAAAAATCTCTAAAAAAAAAAAAATAGTTAAAATAAAATTTATTGGAAAAAAAATTCCCTCATTAAGGTCTTATGGAATCATGGAAACAGGCAACTCTTTTTTTTTTTTTTTTTAGATTTTTGCCATAGAGCACATGTGCTTGCAAGAGAGAGAATAAGTGAGAAACTGAGGCAGCCATGTGGGATCCAGCTCCTTAACCACTACGCCAGCCCCCAGGCAACTACTTTAAAGTAAATACTTTGTTCGTCAGTTACTGCAAAGAACAGTTCAGACCAACTGTTGGCAAAGATGGCTGGATGGCAAGAACTCTCTGGGTAAAACTAACACAGGGAGTGGGGAAGCACTGCAGGGACTGAGGAAAACCAACTCACCCAAGGATGATGGTCTCCAGGAGCAACGTCAGGGGAATGGTGAATTTCCTGAGCACAGTGAACATCGGCAAGCTGTCAGGAGAGATCGAGGGTAACATCACACACCGCACGTCTGTTGGCTTTGCTTTGGTTTTCACCTAGCTTACATTTTAATTAAACCCATGAATTTTTCATATTAAATATAAGGAATTAACCTTAATTCCTACATTTATCACTAACAAATCATCAAAGAGCAAAACGAAATGAAGATTAAATAATTCTATATCGTTTTTACTTATCAGCAATGTCAAACATCATACTACCCAACTGCTGTAAAGATCGTGCTAAATCTAGTTCACATGTGAACTGACACGCCCATTGACAAATCAGGCTGATGATGTATTAACAGCCGTTAAATGTTAATGAGACCAGCAGATGGCATAACGGTTATGTGCTGGATTCCCACTGAGGCCGACCATGGTTTGAGTCCCAGATCCGGTGCCTTTAAAACACACTGAATGCACGTGCATGCATGCCCAAAATCCCAAGGGGAGAATGGAGAAGAAGGGACAGTGGCATGGCCATTCACCCTGCAGGGTGATTTCTCGCTTCCTGTCTTTCCTCTCTCCAGTTGAGCACATACATCCTATAGAAAAATCTCTCTTTAAAAAGAAAAAAAAATTTCCTGATGTTGAATCTAATTTATTTTCATCTTTGCTTTTTGCTATAGGGTGTATGCTCTCACCAGAAAGAGACAGAGCGAGAGGAAAAGTAAGAAATCACTCCCTACAGGAGACAGCCATGCCGCAACCCCTTCTCCATTCTCCTCTCAGGATTTTGGGTGCACACACACACATACACACACACACACACACACACACACACACACACACGCCCAGGGTGTTTTTGCAAGCCACCGGGTCCAGGACTTGAACCACATCACCAGCTGCGTAGGATTCAGCTTCTTTAACCATCATGCCACCAACTCTTTTTTTCTTTTTAATATATACTTAAGAGGGGGCAGGTTAGGGCTAGCACGTAGCAAAGTGGTTAAGGCATTAGACTCCCACATGGCCGATCACAGTTTGAGTCCCAGACCTGGCAGCCTGAAAATCATGCTGGGTGCATGTGCATACATGCCCAAAATCCCTGGAGGAGATTAGAGGAGAAGGGACTGCAGCATGGTCATCCCCACTGGGGAGGTGATTTCTCATGTCCCCCCCTCCAGTGAGCACACCCACACACCCACTCTATGGTGAAAAAGAAAAGAAAAGAAAAGAAAAGAAAAGGAAAAAGAAAAACTGTATACTTCAGAGGGGGCAGGGTGGTGGCACGGTGGTACCACAATGCTCTGTGAGGCTGACCCACATGGGGACCCTCCGGATTCGCATCTGGGGACCTTTCCACATGTGCTCGGTGGGTTCACGCTTGCTGGTGACCTGGGGCTGACTGAGGCTGGGGGGACCAGGGCGTGAAGTACTAGTTGAGGCTGCCGGTTTCTCTCTCTGGCTCGTGGAAGAAATAATAAAATTACACCTTAAAAAAATAAAAACAAAAAAACTTCAGAACTCTCACCCTCTCCTAACATCCCGAGATTCCCAGACACACCTCAACACACAGCCACCTGACTGCCCGGGCTGCAACGGCCCAGTTCCTTCCAGACGTGGCTTGGGAAACACGAGCCAGAGCTGTGGGAAGCCAGAGCTGCCAGCCTCCGAGGGAAGAGGGCAGACCTTCCTGACAGACCTGAGGACAGACGTCACGTGGCCAATGACACTGCACCCAGACAGCAGGGGCAGAAAGAAGTTTCGAGAACTTTATATCCACATTTAACGAGTCTTGTGAGAACCAGCTAGTGGCACAGTGTTGAAGGTGATTAGATCCCACATGGCTGATGACAGTGTTCGAATCCTGGACCAGCAGCTTGAAAAAACAAACAGGGCAATTGTATGTGCCCAAAATCCAGAAAGGAGGAGTGGAGAAGGAATGGTGGCATGGTCACCTCCCATGGGAGTTCTCTCTCTCTCTCTCTGTCTCTCACTCCTCAGCAAGCATACACACCCTCTAGCAAATTGAGAGAGAGGAAAAGATGTCTTATGAGACTGGCTTAAACTGCCATTTTCAAAGCAAGCAACAATTTTAAAAGTTTGATCATTTTCAGACAGGCCAGTGCATGATAGTAAGGTGGCTGGATTCCACGTGGCCGACCGTGTGCTGCTCAAGTCCTGGGACAGTGACTGGAAAGACATCCTGGGCACCTGTGCCTATGTGCCCAAAATCCTGAGAGGAGAATGAGGAGAAAGGAGTGGGGCATCCCTGGGAAATGGTTTCTCATTCTCTCTCTCTCTCTCTCTCTCTCTGGCAAGTATACACACACCGCATAGAAAACTTTTTTAAAGAATTATTTAATTTTACTTATTCATTCATTTATTTTTAATTTGACCAGAGAGAGAGAACGAGAGATAGTGAGAAAGCAAACCACCAGCTTCGGGACTCAAACCATGGTCGGCCATGTGGGAGTGTCCAGCACCTTAACCACCATGCCACCTGCTGGTCCTCCATAGCAAACATTTTTTAAAAGATTCATCACTTTCAGTAAGTTCAAAAGTATATATATATTTAATTTGCCAGAAGTAATCAAAGACTACCAGGGCCACAAAACATAGGAGCCAATTCAAAGGGGTTCCACTGACCTGAGGTGGGACAATTTGTGCATCGAAAGAAACATTTCTTGAATTAATTGAAACATAGCAAGTCAATTAAACAAACAGATCAGTGGAACAGAACAGAGGACCCAGAAGTAGACCCACACAAAAAAATCAACTAATCTTTTATTTTAAAAAAGCAAAGAGGAAAGAATAGTCTTTTCAACAAATGGTGCTCACATAAATGGACAAAATACTAAACCTAGTCACAAACTAAACCTTTATAGCTTTTATAAAATTTAACTCAAAGTATATTATAGACCTAAATGTAAAACATAAACTGTGGAGGTTAAGGCAGCTGGATCCCACATGGCCAACTGCATGGTTCCAGTCCTGGACCCAGCAGTTTGAAAAACACACCAAGAGCGTGTGAGTGCACCTGCACACCCAAAAGTCCCGAGAGGAGAATAGAGGAGAAGGGACTGCAGCATGGCCATCCCCCCTGGGAGGCATTTCTCACTTTCTCTCTCCTCCATGAGTGCCTAGGCCCTACGGCAAAAAATAAAACATAGACTACCAAACTTTTGGAAGATTAACATTAGAGAAAATCTAGTGTCAAACAACACACCAAGAGCACAATTAATGAAAGAAAAAACTGATTGTGGGGGCCGGCAGGTGGCATGGTGGTTAAGGCGCTGGACTCCCACATGGCCGACTGTGGTTCAAGTCCCAGACCACTTGCTTTCTCTCTCTCTCTCCCTCTCTGTATCTCTCTGGTCAAAATGAATAATAATAATAAATAAAACAAATTTTTAAATAAACAGATTGTGAAATCTCATCAAAATTAAAACCTCTGCTCTGTGAAAGACAATGTTAAAAACTAAAAGACAAGCCGCAGACAGAAATAAAATATTTGCAAAACTCTAATTAACAAAGGACATATATCACATAAATAATAATGGGTTCCAACCACTCATAATGGCTGGAAAAAAGGAAAAGCAAACAAAAAACAGTCTTCACCACTGAAGATGACAGGATGGACACTAATTCATTACTCTGAATATTTATGAATAAGGCTCTTATCTTGCCTTTCCTGTGTGAATTGGTGAAAATTTGTCTTTATTGAGAAAGTTCTGACAATAATCGAAGATGGTCACCATTTTGCAATTTGTAATAAATAATGAATGTCGACCATGAACATTCATGGGTTTTCCAACCATTAGGTGTACTCTCTAATGAAGGGACTCTACTGACCACCAAAAGACACTAAAAGTGGAATTGGTCAATTTAATATCAGAATAGGATAAGGCAGGGCCAGCAGGTAGTGTGGTGGTTAAAGGCACCAGATTCCCATATGGCTGACCACAGTTCAAGTCCCGGACCTGGTGGCTTGCTTTCTTGCTTTCCCTTTCTCTCTCTTTCTGTCTCTGTCTGGTCAAATAAATAAATAACAATAACAAATGGAATTAAATAAATAAATGATTCTCAAAAAAAAATGAATAGGATAAAGCTTTAAGTGCCCCATAAGGTAGAAAGACCCCCAACATCATCAATAAACTGATCTTGTGTGAAAAATGAAACCTGACTCTGATCAAGCCTTGATAATCAACTACCAGCTGATGGGAAATACAAAGAATAAGGGTACATATCCCACGCCCCCAAACAAGCCATCCTCCCCTCACTGGCTGCTCCCCCTCTTTTCTGCAAAGAAGCCCTCAGGCTGCCTGAGAAACCCTCGGCCACAGGGCGGAGTCCCCCAGGGGAGGGTGGGTGGTCTGAGTCCCTGAAGCCATCCTCCAGGGCTGGAATCCCCCAGGAGAGGGTGGGCGGTCTGAGTCCCTGAAGCCATCCTCCAAGGCTGCAAGTGCACTCAGAGGAGACCATGGGAACTTGTGGCCCTGTCCAGCAGAACCAAGCACGGGAAGCTCCCCTAGGCTTCTGAGGAACACAAATGTATCACTAAACCGTTATTTCACATTTTGTTTTCACAACCCTCTGTGCTTGCCAAACAAGCGTGGAAGACCACAGGCCTAACCTCCCATCCCATCCTGCTCGGGTCTATCACTTCCCTGTCTGCTCTCCGACTCTACACACAGGCTTTCCTCCACTTCCGTCATCCTCCACAGACTTCATTTTCTCCCGTGTCGGTCTTCGCTCCTGTGCATTCGGTTGGCCTCCTTTTGCACCCAGTTTCTGATTTACAGGGTGACATACCCTTTCCGCACCTCTGTTTTCATTTTCTTTCTTTCTTTTTTTTAATTTTCTTTTATTGCTAAAGGGTACATTTGCTCACCAGAGAGAAAAAGGAAAAGAAAGCACCCCCCATAAATGAGGCTGGTCACACTGCAAGCGTTTCTTCTCCATTTTACCATCCTGTCGGGATTCTGGGCACATATACACGCATGCACACAGCATGTTTTTTGAGCCACCAGGGCTTGAATTCGAACTGCGCTGTTGTTCGTGTGGGAGATAGCTCCCTCTAACCACCAGACCATGAGGTTGGCTCTCCATTTTCTTTCTTTTTTTTTTTTAAGAGAGATTGTTGCTATAGGGTGCATGTGCTTGCCAGAGAGACAGAGAGAGACAAAGAGACAGAAAGTGAGAAATAACCCCCAAGGAGAGATGATCACGCTGCAATCCCTTCTCATCCTTTCTCTTCTCAGGATTTTGGGAGTGCACACACACACACACGCACACGCACCCTGTGTGAGTTTTAAGCCACCAGGTCCGGGACTTGAACTACAGTCAACTACGTGGAAGTCTAGCAACATAAGCATTCCACCACCTCCTGGTCCCTCCACTTTCATTTTCAATAGTGACTTTTAAAAAGGAATCAAAGGACTTAAATGAATGCAGACGTAAACATCAGGTATATAAGGCATGCACTTGAAAATGTCTGTCACTTATTTTTTCCTACACCAAATCTGACAGAGACTTCCTGCTGTTGTGAAACCAAAAGTTACACAAAACCACATTCATACAGACGGCCGACCTGGATAAATCATACCTCTTCTACCTTGACACCTATGGGTCTCATATTCCATGCTCTGACTTGAATAGAATAAAAGTAAATAAAGCTTTCTAATACATCTTTATTTATTTATTGTTTCCATGAAAACCACAAAGAGAGAAAATGAGAGAGAGAGAACACCCCCAACAGAGTCTTGACGCTGTGGTCCACCCCCAGCTCCAGCCAGCCCTGGATCAGGGGCCCACACAGGCCTGGTGTACTCAGAGAGATCCCCGGACACAAACCTGGAGCATTCCCACTTGGGCCAGCCTCTCAGAGCACTGAGCTGTCCAGCTATGCCACTGTCCAGCCACGCCCACAAAAAAAAATTTTTTTAAAGCTTTTTAACATTACTAAAATCATTGTCAAATGAAACTCAAAACCCTACCTCCCTTTCCTAAATTACTAAATATTATCGTCTTCCATCTATAGCCTACGTGAGATATTCAAACACCCAGCCTGGTCTTTGTTCTATTACAGGGACGTGAGGGAAACAGCTCCCCTAACGCTCTACCTTAATTTACTCGTGCTCGATAATCCACTGATGTGGTTTCCAACGTAGAGGAGAGGCAGAGGAAAGAGCTTCAATAAAAAGAAAGAATATTTGGTTAGAATTTCAGTAACATATTTTCCTTCACATACAAAAAAAAAAAAAGGTAACATTGACATACACACACCCCATTGGTAGCCAAATCATTGGAATTCTTTTGGCTGCAATGACTGAATTTTCCAGAATCCAAAACACACGAGCATCTCCAATAGTCAAATAGTGAGACGGGCAGTGAGAGCTACAATATAATCCTGGGGTTGAGAGCGGGACAAGGAACGATGAGAAAGAAACTGAAATCTGGACCAAGCCCACATTACTGGGCTATTTCCCTGAAGGCAGGATATGAACAAGGATCTCTCCTGGAGGGGTCCCAGCCGGAAATTGAGGGTGGTGTCCATAGTCTATGTGCAAGGTTCAGAACATCCATGAAAAGGTGTGCAAACCGCTGTTGTGTGAAGAGCGTTACATACACTCTTCTAGACAAAGGCAAAGGTCTTCCTGGAATGTCACGAGGCTGGGGACCCTTTCCAAAAGTCATGTAACCGCCTCACACACATTACCTTAGAGTTACTTTGGTTTGAAGGCCTGGAAGATTAAATAGATACCAAGGTCAACATGCCAGAAGTAGCTGATTAGGTGTCCTGAGCTGAGTTCCTAGATTATTTTCTGGTTATCAAGAAAAATACTGTTCAAGGGACCAGCAGTTGGCATAATGGCTATGTCGCTGGACTCCCATATAGTCAACCATGGTTCGAGCCCCGGACCTGGTGACTTAAACTCACGCCGGGCACATGTGCGTGCGTGCCCAAGATCCCGAGAGGAGAATGGAGGAGAAGGGATTGTGGTGTGGCCATCCTCCCTGGGGGGTGATTTCTCACTTTCTGTCTCTCTGTCTCTCTCTGTCTTTCTGGCAAGCGCATGCACCCTATAGCAAAAACCTCTCAAAAAAAAAAAAAAGAAAGAAAGAAAAGAAAAAGAAAAATACTGTTCAGAATATAATAAAGAAGCAGATAAGATAACGTGCTAATCTTCCCCTAGGGGAAAATATATATATCCTTTCGTTAGGTCCCACAATAACTCAGAACACTTTCTTAGTGTCTGTGCTCATTTCTTTCCATGAGAGAACAGAGAGAAAGCAAAGACATTCAGAGAGAGAGAAAGAGACAGGGAAAGTGAGAAACTGTACCCCAGGTGGCATGGCCACACTGCTATCCCTTCTCCTCCACTCTCCTCTCGAGATTTCAGGCATGCACGCACACCCGCCTGGAATACTTTCCAAGCTTTCGGTTCTGGAGCTCGAACTACGTAGTTGGCCATGTGGGATCCAGCAACCCCCCTGCACCACTTGCCGGCACCCAAGTTTAACATTTTTAAAAGAAATTTCTTCCCTTTTTTTCTTTCATGAGAGAGACAGAGACATAGAAACAGGCACCCTCAAAAGAGTTTTCACACCACAATCCTCTCCCCTACCCTCAGCCTACTAGGATCACAGGTGTGCTCGGTGTGTTCAGGTAAACTCAGGACGCCAAGCCAGAGCCTCCCCACAGGCTTCAGCATTGCACGTCAGTGCCCCTTCCACATGCACCACCATGGCTGGGTAAATTTAAGTACTTTAAGATTAAGAATGTCTCCAGGGACCAGCTGATGGCATAATGGCTAGATCGCTGAACTCCCACGTAGTCAACCACGGTTTGAGTCTCAGACCCGGTGGCTTAAACTGACATCAGGCGCATGTGTATGCATGCCCAAGATCCCAAGAGGAGAATGGAGGAGAAGGGATTGCAGCAAGATCTCGCTTTCTATCTCTCTGTATCTCTATGTCTGTCTGGCAAGTGCATGCGCCCTATAGCAAAAACCTCTCCAAAAAAAAAAGGAATGTCTCCAAATATCCAGACCCAAGAAATACATAAGATCCCTAATAGCATCAACACAAGAAGATCTTCTCCAAGGCATATCATAGCCAGGTTGACCAAATCCACAGAGAGAAGATACTAAAATTGGCAAGAGAGAAACGTCAAGTTACTTTCAAAGGATATCCCATCAGACTAACATCAGACCTCTCATCAGAAACAATGTGAGCAAGGAAAGAATGGGAACACATAGTCCAAGTGTTAAGTGAAAAACAATTTCAACCAAGAATACTGTACCCAGCAAGAGTTTCCTTCATATGGGAAGAAAAGATAAAAACGTTCTCAGATAATCAAAATCTGAAAGAATTTGCCAACACCAGACCAGCTCTTCAGGAAGTTCTGAAAGGAGTGCTTTACCAGGAAAACTAAAGACACAAATACAGAAATAAGAGAACAAAAAGCAACCAAGAAAATGACCAACTTAATACTAGGTACAAGAAATATCGATAATAACGTTGAGTGTTAACTTCCAGGATTTAAATGGAAAGATTGGACCACAGTAACACTGCAGAAGAGAGATTAATTATATAAGACTGAACTGGTTTTGAAATAGAATTTTATGACTTTTGAGTAAAACGTTACTTTTTTTTTTAACTCTGCTTTGTTTACCCAGTTTAAAGATTTTGCTTTCTTGGGAACCAGCAGTTAGCGTAATGGCTATGTCGCTGGACTCCCACGTAGTCGACCGCGGTTCGTGTCCTGGACCCGGTGGCTTGAGACTCACGCCGGGCGCGTGTGCGTGCGTGCCCAAGATCCCGAGAGGAGAATGGAGGAGAAGGGATTGCGGCGTGACCATCCCCCCTGGGGGGTGATTTCTCGCTTTCTGTCTCTATGGCTCTCTCTGTCTGTCTGGCGAGCGCACACGCCCTACAGTGAAAATCTCTCCAAAAAAAAAAAAAAAGATTTTGCTTTCTTTTGAGTTGTCGATAGGTTCAGCAATTTGTTAAAATGTTTATTTCTTCTTGTTTGTTTGTTTCTTTTTTGTTTGTTTGTTTTTTGTTTTTTGGGTTTGTTGTTGTTGTTGTTGTTGGAGAGGTTTTCGCTATAGGGCACATGCGCTCGCCAGACAGACAGAGAG